GAGAATAATTTTGATCATATAGTTAATCTAGATGAAGTATTAACAAGATTTAATAAGGCTGGACTGACGACTACGACCGATAAAATTAAAATTGGAGAAAAGTCAGTTACTTATTTAAGTCATGTTATTGATGAATTCGGAATTCACCCGCCCGAAGATAAGATTAATGCTATGAAAAATTGTAAAACACCATCTAATATTAAAGAATTACGTTCGTTTTTGGGAATGGTAAATTATCATGAATCGTTTATTAAATATTTACATTCTATTTGTACGCCTTTACACCGACTAACGAGTAAAAATGTGAGTTGGTTTTGGTCAGCTAAAGAAGATGAAATATTTAATGTAGTTAAAAAAATATTATCAAAAGAAGATACAATAATTCCTTATTCAGCCGATATTCCTGTCGTGATTTCTTGTGACGCTTCCGAAGATGGTCTAGGAGTTGTTATTGCACACCGATTTCTTACTGGCCAGGAGAAACCAATTGCTTACGCATCGAGAACACTTTCAGCAGCTGAAAAGAATTACGCCACTATTGATCGGGAGGCTTCGGCGATCATGTTCGCTATCGAGAAGTTTCATCAGTACATTTATGGAAGACATTTTATTTTGGTTACTGATCATAAACCTTTAATATATATCTTAGGTGATAAAAGAGACCTTAATAAGATAACAAATAACCGTTTAATACGGTGGGCCACGAAGCTTTTAAATTCGACTATGAGATAACTCATAGGCCGGGTAATCAAAACAAATGCGCCGACGCTCTGTCCCGTTTGGTGGTAGAGAGAGAAAAAAGGAATGAAGTTTAAAAAAAATTTTAAAATGAAATTAGAGAAGTAAGGATCCATTTAATTGAAGATTTATCGTTCACTCGAAATAAAGTTATTAGTGAAACGATCAATGATATAAATCTAAAAGAGATTGTTAAATTAATAAAAAATCATTGGCATATATAATATGAATAATTATTCGGAAAGTTTAAAAAAATTCATCTTAATTAAAGATAATATTTCTTTCGAAGAAGGGCTTTTATTTTATAATGATAGAATCATCATTCCTGATAACCTAAAAAAAGAGGTTTTGAATGTTATCCATCGAGGACATCCGGAGATAGTGGGAATGAAATCCTTATGCCGATACTATGTCTTCTGGACAAATCTTGATCGAGATGTTGAATAATTCGTAAAAAACTGCAAAAGTTGTCAGGAAGGAAGACCGGGAGCCAGAGATAAACCATTATACAATTGGAATATTCCTACCCGACCTTGGGAAAGAATACACATTGATTTGACAGGCCCCGTGTCTGGAAAGTATCACAAGGAGGAGATTTGTCATTGTGAATCAAAACCTAAATATAAAAAGAAATATATATATAAAAAAGAAATTAATGATAATTAGGAATCATGAAATCATGAAATCAATTTAATCCTTTATTCAAAATTATAACATTATCAAATTAACAAAATTATAAAAGTAAAAATAATAAAAAAAGATTAATAAAAATAAAAATAAAAAATAAAATACAAAAAAGTTAATAATTATAAAAGATTATCTCAAATGTAAAAATTGGAGTTTTTATACTCTTTTCAATCTTCTTTATAAATAATATTCATAACTTAAATTATTTTCAGTTCTCACTATTCAAATATAATATTTTTATCACGCGTTATAATAATAAATCCCAAAGAACTCTTTATGCAAATTAAATATAAAGTACAAATTTAACGAATTTACATTTTACAACAGAAAGTACTGGTTAATTTGCGTAGACGCTTTCACCAAATGGGTTAAAGTTGCAATTTTAACACATATTAATTCGACGAGTGTAATAAATAATCTACGTAATTATTTCGCTAGATTTGGTTTACCTTGTTACATTGTCTCAGATAACAGTACTCAGTTTACTGGATCTGAATTCAAAACGTTTCTTTTTAAAAATAATATAAAACATTTTAGATCGGCCCCTTATAGCCCCAAGTCGAATGGTTTGGCTGAGCGCTATATAGGTACGATAAAGACGCGTTTCTATGCTGGAAGGAGAAGTGGTACTCCGGACCAGTTAAATTTAGCGAATGTTTTAATTACAAACCGAAATACTCCAAACGCAACTACCGGTAAATCCACTGCCAAAATGATGTTTGGAAGGCCGCTCAGGACGACGCTAGATCAGTGGAAATTATCTACTAGAGAAAGGACTGAAAACGCGTTATGGAAACAAACAAATTATAATGATAGGAACGTTGAGCCCCGTGAATTTAAAAAGAAGCAAAATGTTTGGGTAAAAAAACGAAAGGACTGCGGGATGGCATGAAGGAACTGTGGTTCAACGGAAAAGTGCGATATTGTATTATGATGAGTCGGAGGGTATTGTAAAAAATAAGCATGCCGACCAACTGAGGGAAGCTCATGCACAAGCTAAAGAAACACCCATGACAATGACGAGGATTTGGACATTGCAGAACATAATGGAAATACAACTCTAGAAAAAAGAGTTTCGAAACCCCCATTACGTTATTATGATGAATTCAATTATAGTAGGGAGAACTGTAATGTATTTAAATAAATTGATTTTTTTATATTCGCTTAAAGATACAATTTATTTACAATTTATAAAAATAGAAAAACATATATATATAGCTGATAATATTATATTAAATCACTTTACAATAAACTAATCAAATCATTTCACATCATTTGTCAGTTATGATTAGACCTGTGCGCCGGCCGGCTTTTTTGGTTGCGCCGAAAACGCCGCCGTTAAGAAAATTACGCCGGTGCATAAATTTCTTTCTACCTTTTTATTCTAAGAATTGTTCAACATCACTCTTGTAATTTTTTAATTTCAATCAGGATTTTGATGAATTTTTATTTTCTACTATTTTAAAATCTTAATTATATTGACGTCATTATAGAATTCAATCAATCAAAAATCTAGAATTCCAAAAGTTACCATAATTTTACATATTTTTAAAATGGATTACTTTAATAATTTAAATAATTTTAGTATCCTAACTCTGGATAATAAAAAATTCATAGTCTGAAAATTTTTTGCAAAAGAATTAGAGAAATTATTAATGCTCTAAGATATAAAACTGCAGAGGTTAAATTTGAATTCGAGGAATATAAGAAAATGCCTAAGTACAATAGATTTAACATCAGACATGTTAGATTTTTACAGCATTGATCCATACCCGGATACCCGGTTTCAAATTGGCAATTCCATTGATAATAATAACAATAATTCCACGCATATGAAAACCTTAAAATTAAATATCCCAACACGTTGGCATAGTATAATAATTATGCTAGAAAGCATATCTGGATTAAATAAGAATTTAATTAATAATGTTTTGAAAAGAATTGGAAAGCACTTTCTCAAATTATGAATCTGATCTGGTAGAAGAACTATTAGCATTTCTTTCAAAATTTAAAGAAACTGTCGAATTTCTTTCAGTACTAAAAGGGTCTATTTTAAATTTGGCGTTACTTGAAGTGAAATTGAAACACATTTAATAGTAAATGACAGTGATTCTGAAATTATTTCACTTAAGGAAAATATGCTAAAAAACTTGCGTTACGATTTCCGGTTTGTAATCTGCAAATAATGTTATATAAGTATATTCTTTTATTTTTTATTTAAAATTATCTAGGTATTGGCTTCTCTTTTAGATCCAAGATTTTAAAAATTGGCAATTGTGTCAAAGTATTTAATAGAGCAAAATTGCTCAGCTTCAGAATTTATAATAAAACATCTTAAACTTATAGAGAATGATGATAATCATGTAGTAAATATAGCTAATGAGGATGAATTATTAAATTCAAGTTAATTGACGAAATTGGCAAATAAACATTCAACAAATATAAATTACGTTTCCAAGGTGACTTAGAACAAGAATGACACAGTTGGAAAACGACATTCACAAGATATGGACGTTCTAAATTTTTGGAGAGAAAAGAAGAGTGAACTTTCCAATCTTTCCAGGCTCGCCAAAAAAATTTTTTGCATTTCGGCGACTAGCACACCTAGTGAAAGAGTTTTCTCTATCGCTGGATTTACTTTAAATTCAAGGAGATCATCATTATGTCCCAAAAATTTTAATAAAATAATTTTTATACATGATAATTAAATTACAAAATCGATTTTGTATATAATAAGTTTTCTATTAAATGAATATTAAAAAATATGCCGAGATATCTGTAGAATAGTGTATATTTATTTGTTTTAAATTAATCAGCAATTAAAAAATAAAAATTTATATATGCGCCGATTTACGCTGATTTTATTGACCGTGGCTAAAAATCGGCGCGCCGCCGGCCGTTTATTAATTTTTTAAAAATACGCCGGCCGCTGATATTTCGTCGGCGCACAGGTCTAGTTATGATCGTTCTATCTTAAGCTTTATTAAATTATCAAGCATCCTAGTTGATTGGATTGGATGGACTATTACGAAGATTAAGTTAATCTAAAGTTTTTTTATAATCATTATTCATTCCTTTAAACATTACCCCAAATGTACTTCTTCCCTACCAAACATTACTAATTCAAATAGTAAACCAATTGATAGACCTTTTTTATTATTTATAAAAAAAGAGGGATTAATAAATGAAATAAAAAGGATTTTCAATGGATAAAACGAGAGTGCTTATTTACATTCTTGTTAAATGCTTCGCAATGAATAAAAATAGAGAAAAATATTATAGACTACAAATTTAATACTAAAACAACATAATATTTTAGACAACAACAAATATTTTACCAATTCAGCACTCCTACACCATAAAATCTACGAATTCAGCAATTAAATCTAATTAAAATTAAAGAAAGTTGTTTTTATAGCATACTGCATGTTATTATTTTTTTCTACGAGATAACACTTCAAAAATCAGGTCCTTTGAATATTTAATTTTAAATTAATTTTAAACTTTTATTTTTATTATTTCTTATTTAGTTTAGTTTTGAAAAAAGACTGATTCATTATATTTTGAATTTTAACCTTGCGAAGTTAAATATTCTATTCAAATATCACGTGATTAAATTGGCAACTGGAGAGACAGGTTGATACTTGATTTATCACAATATTCTTCAAACATTAATTACACATTGATTAACTTTGGCTAAACCCAAATTTATAACATTAAGAAGATATAATCAGGTAATAAATTAAGTTTTAATTATAACTAATCTCATATTTTTAGATATGTTTCGCGATCATCATCAATTTCCTCCCTAGCATTTGCTAATATTTATCAGATAATATTATTAATATGATGAAATCCCAGCTACCCATTCACTTTATTCCTTCTCATTTATCATTAAATAGCTTTATCCAATATAATTTTAACAAATTAATTAAGGTATCTAATAAAAAGCTTAATTTATAATCATTTGATATATATTAGCATCAGGACTCATTTTTTGCCATAAATCTCAGTGAAATCCATATTAAAACTTGTTTATGGAAAAACATTTTCCCCAATATTCTTCCTTATTATGGTATATTTTTAAAATATCGACAATAATTATGTTTTAATTACACAGATGTCTCAATTAATTATGACCCAAGCATTTTAAATTTTTTATCCTATTGTGACATAGGATTTCAATGCAATTCTAAAGTGAGATATATATTTATTTATAAATTTTTGCAAATATGTCTAAAACAAAAAAAAATGCAGACAATAATTTAAAAAAATAATCCCTTGAAGTTGGTTATTTTCCATGCTTGATTTGAATTTTGGAAATATGTTTTAACCCTCTCCCCCCTCACTACAGTTTATTGTCATAGGTTTTTTAATTTTATTTTTCTTACAACATAATAAATCAACCTTATGAACCTGATATTTTAGAATTGGTTTAGTTCAGTACAAAAACAAAGGAGGTGGGGTATCTACATCTGAAATTCATAGGGTAGGTACTCTAAATAAACATGCTAGAATTTGATAAAAGTGGGTGTTTTTTTAAATTTAAGAAACACCTAATAAATGGTTTAAAGGTAAAAAAATAACATATTGATGGAAATAAATATTGATGCTAGCAATAAATCCTTTCACTGTTGAATACATTATTTTATTATTCTGTTTCCAATTTTCGCAGTATAATCTTATAATCTTCCATATCCTTAAAATAATTGGAATTCTAAAAATCAAATGATTTATATAGGTGGCTTCATTATAAAACATCTTAACAAATAATCTAAGCAAAATCTGCTTAATAATATTTTGACAATAATTTAAAAATCTTAATGGATTATATTTTACAATATGATAATTTTATATATACTACATTTAATTTTAATTGTTAAATTTAACACATGTTTTATCTTCATTTTGTAAAAAGTATATAAAGAAGTTTTCTGGCAAAATGATATTTAGATCTAGGCTTATTCGAAAATGAAAAAATCTATTAATCAATTTTTGAACTTTATTTTTTAACAAAGTTGATTAATCAACTATTTGTAATTATACTAATTGAATGAACACATTATTCTATATTTATTTTATAAAAAGTGTAAAAATAAGTTATCTGGCAAAACTATATTAGTTAGATCCAGGCCTATTCAAAAATGAAAGAATTGAATAGTGGATAATTCAATTCTTTTATAAAAAGTGTTGATTAATCTACTATTTCTAATTTTACTAATCAAATAAGAATAGTAAATTAATTAATTTTTTAAAACAAATCAAATACAAATAATTCATTTTTTGAATAGGCCTAGTTAAATCTATAATATTTTGCTGACCTATAGCTTAAACATGCATCTAAAAAATAAATTATTCAATAATGTCTTTCATAGTAAAAATATAATGGGTCATTCCATGACAAATCAACCACGATTCGGCCAACCCCCTTCGATTTTTTTAAAATTTGGTAAGCAAAGAAAGGTCAATGTAACTAAGAAATAGCCAAAATTTTAGCCTCCTAACATTTATATTTTTGGAGATATTAGGGTTCAAAGTGGCAAAAATGACATATTTTTACCATTATCTGCCTTTATTCAATTAAGCATATCTTAAAAACTACATAATTGTAAATAACAAATTTAATATTAAAATTACATACAAAGATTCTACTTTTAGATAAAAAAATTTCCAATTTCCGGTAATTTTATTTAATATATAAGGACTAAAAACAATTTTTTGGAAATAATACGACCTCAATTTTTTTTAAAAATTTAGTAGACATTATTAAACTCTTCCTTTATATTTATAAAAAAAATTGGTCTGGGACGCGGCCATCTTCATTCTCAAAATCGATAAAAATGTTTAGAAAAGTGTATAAATATTTTCCCGAAAGGGGGCGTCTTTGTATAAAATTATATATTAATCAGTTTTTAATGGGTTTTCTTGAACTATTTGATATAATTTAAAGGATTATTCATCTTGTAAGTGAAAATAACAATAAATGGGGCTTTCATTCAATTATAGAAATTGTCTATCGATAAAAGAAATTCAATTTATTACTTTATTATAAAAATTTTTGCCCATATAACATATATTTAATAAATATTAATAAAATATATTTAACCAAGTTTATAGTTCTTGAATATATGAATCAGAATCTTGTGCATTTCATATATGGCGCCCTAAAAATTGATATAATTTAAATTTAAACTCACTTTCAAAGGATTCAAATTTTTTGGTAGCGCATTTACTTTCTTATGAGGACAATGTATAACTACGGCCAGTAGCATTTAACAGTGAAACTAATGTTAAGATATGACATTTGGGCAAGTAAAGAGTGTCGTCTATACTTGGAAATGTAAAGGAATTAGAAGGTCCGGATAGGTGTTAAAAATTTATATATATTTCTTCCTGCTTTTGATTTTTCACTAAAACAAAGCTATCCACCAATTAGAATCATAAGGATACGTTAGGTATCCTGATATTTCTTCAATAATTATATTTTCATCATTAAATGATAACGATTCTAAAGTACTTTCTATTGAATTGGAATACATTTAATTTTAAATTGATGTAGATCTGTTGGAATCAAGGTGTGTTTTTTGTGTGTTCCAGGTATAGATCTTGTTTTTGAAAATCTTCCCCTGAGTAATAGATCTTCGTAATCATAATTTATTTTGGTCATCTATTCAAAATATATGACATTAATATTTTCTTTATTTAACTCGTACAATTCATATGATGTGGTTATTTACTTTGAGTAAGGGCTTGTAAACTAGCTCTAGCGGCTAATCTTTTAACAGTGCCACCATTCCCATCACAAACACTTTTCCCTTGTGCTATAGCAGAATAATGTCATTTCGCCTGTACCCCGAAATCCATCTCATGATGGCAAATATTAATAAAAATTTTATGATTTTTATCATCGGAAAAATAAAAATATTTGGCCTACAAATTTTATTAATTAAAAAATTTACCAATATTTTTTGAAATTATGTACTGCTATTGTATTGTGTTGCAAAGATTCGGATATCATTACATAATTATGGCAACAAATATTGGCAAAATTATCTTTATAATATATAACAAAAGGGTGAGCAGTGGATTGAGCCCTATTCCAATGATAATTTTGTATTTCATCCTGAAGTATAAAGCTATAGTTTTCTTAAAAATCACATAAAATTAAATATTGGTCTTCGTCTAAGTTCAATTTTAGATTGTTTTGATACAACGATTGTTGCATTGAAATAAAAAAAATGGAGTAATAAAGATTCCATTTTTTCAAAAAAGGCATTGATAAATTCACCTACTGGTATGGTTATTGTTTCAAGAGTGGTTTTATCTACGGATAGCCATTGTTTGTATGTTATAAATTCGATGTCCTTGAAACAATATTTCTATTTGATCGCGTAAATGTGTTGACCCTGGACAATTATCACATTTGCCCATATAAACTGGATGGTTGAGGCGAATTACAAATTGTTAAGTGTAAAATATGTTTGTATGCTTAAAAGGGCAACATATCATTGGGTAAATTTGATCCAATTATCAATAATTTAAAATTTTGGTGGTAGCTGCAATCACATCCATGTGTACCACTACCTCCAACGAGTATACAATTTTTGAGCGAATCCTTGCAAATTTCGAAAACCCAATTTTAACATCAGGCCTCATTTCTTTAAAAAATATATGAATTTCTTTCAAATTATCTAAAATTAATCTCTTATGTATGGTATTCTTTTTTCCGTCTTTGGTCAAAATCGAAACGCAATCTTTCTTGCCTGGCATGATTCTGCTTATTTCGTCCATACAATAAAATTCTTGTACAATTTTAACTGTATATTCGTCTGTAGTTTTTCCAGGCTTGGGGTTAGGTATACCAATAAATTAATTAAAAAATGAATTAATATAGTGAGCATGTATTATTGAATGATTAATCAATTTTAAAATTTTTATTTATTTTATTGATTGAAACACTTATTTATTGTTATTCTAATTTAGTAAGGCTATGCCGATTTTAGAAAATCCGATCCAATATTTATATTGTTTTGGGTTATACTTTTATTTTGTATATAATTTAATAATAAATTAATATTTGTAATATTTTAAAAATATCAAATTATTTTAAAAAATTGAGCAGAGAAAATTTTGATAGTATTTTTTGGCGTCTATGAAATGCACAAGATTCTGATTCATATATTCAAGAACTATAAACTTGATTAAATATATTTTATTAATATTCATTAAATATATGTTATATGGGCAAAAATTTTAATAATAAATTATAAATAAAGTAATAAATTGAATTTCTTTTATCGATATACAATTTCTATAATTGAACGAAACCCCCGTTTATTGTTATTTTCACTTACAAGATGAATAATCCTTTAAATTATATCAAATAGTCCAAGAAAAACCATTAAAAACTGATTAATATATAATTCTATACAAAAACGCCCTCTTTCGGGAAAATATTTATACATTTTTCTAAATATTTTTATCGATTTTGAGAATGAAGATGGCTGCGCCTCAAACCATTTTTTTTATATAAATATAAAGGAAGAGTTTAATAATCTATACTAAATTTTTTAAAAAAATTGAAGGTCGTATTATTTCCAAAAAATTGTTTTTAGTCCTTATATATAAAATAAAACGGAAATTGGAAAAAAAATTAAAAAATTTTTTTTATCTAAAAGTAGAATCTTTGTACGTAATTTTGATATTAAATTTGTTATTTGCAATTATGTAGTTTTTAAGATATGCTTAATTGAATGAAGGCAGATAACGGTAAAAATACGTCATTTTTGCCACTTTGAACCCTAATATCTCCAAAAATATAAATGTTAGGAGGCTAAAATTTTGGCTATTTCTTAGTTACATTGACCTTTCTTTGCTTACCAAATTTTAAAAAAATCGAAGGGGGTTTGCCGAATCGTGGTTGATTTGTCATGGAATGACCCGGGTGCAAAGATGGGTGAGTTAATAATTTTTCCCAAAAAATGCTTATCAAATATGCTTGCATCTAACAATTTATATTTTTAACACATTCACATTACCTGGGAGTAGCCAACCTGACCTGACTTGCAGGTCTCTTTTAACGTTTGTTTATCATTTAACATGCTATTAAATTTATTTGAAATATAATTAAACATAAAAATTTATAACTTTTACCAATCAAGATATTTTTTATAATTTTTGAAATGAAGAATGACATAGCTCATGCACAATTATCCAATGAAATGAAAGATAGTTCAAAACCGCTTATTTTTCAGTCTAGATGTCTTTTGGAATCACATATTAAGTCTGCCAAGTTAAGCAAAGTTCCCATTATGACTTTTGAAAATCTATCACAATTACAAAAGTTGACTCAATTTTATCCTAACTCTAAGTAATTTGATAATTATATATATTTACATTATTTGAGTATAATTAAATAAATTAATTTGAACCCCAATCATTTACTTTCTATAAAAAAATATTACATTTATTAATAATTATATTCTAATTTTGTTTAATGTGAAGATTGCTGATAAAGTTGGATGTGACGAATGCCATATTATATAACTCTAACATAAATTTGGACAAATTTGAGAAATTATTAAGCAGTGTTTCAGATATTATTCAAACATATCCTCATATTGTTGGAATTTGTGTCACATCACAGGAAATAAAAATTTTTGATAATTCACTAAATGGTGGACAACAAGCCTTGATATGGTACAAACAATTGTTTGACGCATCTTTTAGAGCCTTGGAATTGTGTGATCAAAAGTTGAATCAAAATTATAAGCATTGCACAATGAATGCATTGCATTTTGACATACCTGGTTTTGGTGAATGCCAAAACAAAAGGACATTAGAAAAGGTTATAAAATTTTATAATAGTTGAAGGACATTTTTAGACAACTATATTTTTTAATGACAAAATTAGATATCATACCAATTTGGCGTCTGTCAATTCAGTACGCCCAAATTTTGGCGTAAATTTTTTTATAAAATAAAAATATATATGCCCCAGTCTCTTAGATTTTAATTGGCGTTTTATTAACCAAAGTCAATACTTATTTTTTTTAGCACGTTTTAATTTTTCTCTTTTTACTTTTATTTTGATTATAAATTAATGATGAATTTTTAAATGATAATATTGATCAATTATCTATTTTTTTTCATATACTACATTATTATTTGGCATGAGTATTGGGTAGAAGTGATATAGGCCAATATCTTGTTAGTATTGATCTTTTTGTATTTGATATAGGCCAATATCTTGTTAGTATTGATCTTTTTGTATTTGATATCGACTAATTCAATAGAATAGTTGTATCAATGCATGATGCAACTGTTTTAAAATAGGAAACTATTACTCAACAGTTCACGTTATTTTATCCCGTTACAACTAGAGGGTTAAAGCATACATAGAAAAAAAGATATTGGTGATTACAGATCTTATCGGTTTCTAATAAACTGTTTTAGTACTTATATGTGGGTAATTCCATGACAAATTGACCAATGATTCGGCCTACCATCTCAAAAATGAATGAAACTTTGCAATTTATGTTGTAAATGTTAAGAAAATCAAAATTTTAGTACAAATTATATATCATTTTATAGCCCTTAAAATTTTACGTTGGAAAATATTAAAAAAAATTAAAAAATTTAAAGTGTTTTTTTTATTTCTGGTAAAAATAAAAAATAAACTTTGTTAGGAAGGGATTTTTCTGAGGTGTTAATATTCACTAAAAATGTTTATTGCCTTTATATTAAACGATTTAATAAAAAATCTCGATAGCCATTTTTGTTTTTTTAATTTTATTTGATTTTTTATTATTTTTATAAATAAAAAAATGCAATATAGATGGCGTTATATTTATTTTTTTAATCACATATAATTTTAAAAAAAAATATGAATATTATTGTGACTAAAATTAAAAAATCAATTGAGTATAACCAAGAATGATGTCCTGGGACGATATGTAAGTAGGCAGCCCATACAGATATTATTTTATTGACGCTATATTGGAAAATAAACATAATTTAAAATTTTATATTCAAACTATTATAATTTCTAGCTTATTAATAGAAATTCCTAAGGCCATAATTTGTAGATATATCCTTTCATTGTTGTGGATCTACTATCGTTATTATTTGAAAATTTATCAGCTTATTTTATTTTTTTATTCCTATCATTGCTACCAATCAATCATCATATATTTCCAAACTTAAGCATTTTTTACAACCAAATGAATTTATGATTTTGATTTCTCTAAAAATTATGCATTTATAATCCGACACTGTTCAATAATGTTATTGCAGTACATTTATACCAGTCAAAAAAATTTTTGACTAATCAATTCAGCTAAAAACCAAACAAAATATATTACTGCTCTGCTGCATCAGCTGCCCAATATAAAAACAGAATTTTTTTATAAATCTGTGTTATCATGAATCAGATTTTGGTGTAGCAGCTGAATGACATTTTTCAGCTACATTCCATGATAAAGGTCCATGTGACGGCCTTGGCGGAATATTAAAAAGATTAGCAGCACGTTCAAGCCTTCAGCGCATCAATTCTGGACACATTGCATCAATTCTGGACACATTTTAACGTCAGTTGATTTATATCAATTTGCAAAACAAAACATGCCATCAGTAAATTTTACATATATAACCAACGACCAACAATTTGCAAGAGATTAAACTACAAGAAAGACTCAATTTAGTTTATCCCATTCCAGGAACTCGGGAAATACATGCTGTATTTCCTTTGAGTTTAAGTAAACTTAAATCTAAAATATATTCATAAGCAGAGGACTTTTAAATCAACAATATCTCAAATGCCGATAATTTGTCTTTTGCCGATATTAAAGGATTCTTAACATTGTTTATGACGATTTTTGGTGGTTAGCCAAGTACTAAAAAAGAAAGAAATTACTGAAGAGATATATATTTCCTTTTTACATCCCCATGGACCATCACCATCCTTCTTTTACCCCACAATTGCGGAAAAGATATAGTTACCCATTAATCAAATAATAACAGTAGTAGATCCTATTACAGTGACAGGACGTACCAGCAAATTATCGTCTCAAGAAATTCTATTAATAAGAACAAAATGGGATAAGATTAAAACAAGAGGTATTTTTTTTTAAATTGTTTCTTTTTAAAATTTTACAATATAGCGTCCAAATAAAATAATAATTGTATGAGCTGCCTGCTTACATATCGCCCCAGGACATCATTCTAGGTTATACTCAATTGATTTTTTAATTTTAATCACAACACTATTCATATTTTTATTAAAAATAATATATTATAAAAATATTTTAATATAACGCCATCTATATTACATTTTTTATTTATAAAAATAATAAAAATTCAAATAAAATTTAAAAAAAACAAAAGTGGCTATCGAGATTTTTTATTAAATCGTATAATATAAAGGTAATAAACATTTTTAGTGAATATTAACACCCAAAAAAAATCCCTTCCAAATGTTAATTTTTCATTTTTACAGGTAATAAGAAAACACTTGAAATTTTTTAATTTTTTTTTATATTTTCCAACGTAAAATTTTAAGGGCTATAAAATGATATATAATTTGTAACTCTATCTTAAGTATTTTTTAAAAAAACACGATTTAAAGAAATCACGCACTTCGCGATTTTCAACTTTGAAGGCGTATGTCTTTGGATCTGGTTGAGCTAGCACTCTAAAATTTTGATTTTCTTAACATTTACAACATAAATAACTAACATGCAAAGTTTCATTCATTTTTGAGATGGTTGGACTAAAATCTCGTTTTTTTGGTCGATTTGACGTGAAATCACCCATGTATAATATTATTCACTACTATTTATCCAAAACACTATTTAAGATCTTGGTCTAGTCTTTGGTCTGACTCGGATTAATGGGCATGGATCCACGGTTTTTAAATAAAAGGCAGGCCCAGGACTGGTGTTTTAATTTATTTTTGTTTTTTACCTAATTTATTTCGTGTTTTATTATTTTATTAAATAATTATTTTATGTTAACAATATCAAATCAAATATGAATAATATAATAAATAATGCAAATATTTAATTTAAAATAAAAACTAGAATAACTCCCCTAGAAAAGTAAAATTAAATATACACAAAAATATATGTATATAATAATAAGTAGGGCTGTGCCGATCTACATATTTTTCACCGATCTGATATTTCCCGATATTGGTTCAAAGCCGATCTTATATTTATACTGATTTTTTACCACCTCCCTTTGAACCAAATGTACAAATAAATATTTTTTATGCAAAAAATCGAATTATGCATTTAATTTATTTTTTTTTATTTCTACAATTAAGACTATAATTTAAAAAAATTATATTATAATAGATAATACATTTTATGTTGTTATGAATCATAAAATTGTAATATTTAATATAATAAATTATAATATATTAAATTTTTTAAAATAAATAAGAGTGCCTCTAGATTTTCTGGCAATAAGCTTCAATTTTATAATTTGGACATAAATAATGTAAAAGCCATCCGACATCCTCCAAGATAGAAATCGGCTGGTGGTCACAGACTATCATTTCCCCTATAAATTTAGAAATAATTATTGATTTAGGATCAGAATTATTCCAAATATTAGTTTTATTAAGAATGGCATATTGTTGGCAGACTTTCAGGGCTCTTTTTAAAAATTTGATTTGTTTTTTCTAATATTTCTCGTTCTTTTTATATTAGCTCTTTGAATTCTGTTTGATGGAATCCTTTAAATATTTACGGATATTGGTATTATTAAATGAATTTTTCATTATTCCCCCCCCCCCCCCCCGTGAAATTTGAATTCCGCAGATAACCCATTTTGCAAAATTATCTTTGTCTTTTGTAAAATATTTTCATAATTCAGATACCATATTTTAAAAAATTCTTTTATTTATTAAAGTAATAAAATTAAAATAAATAAAACTTTGGGTTTTCCTTTCTAATTTTATAAAAAAAACTTTTAAAATACTAAAACCTATTTTAACAAAATAAATAAAATTTAGGGGGTGTTGTGCAATTTGCATTGTTTAAAATAAAAATTACTTAGAAAATATTATAATAATGTAAAATAAATATACATTAAAATAACAAAAAAAAGAAAAGTAAAAATATCTGATCCGATTTTTACAGGTATCGGCCCTATCCGATATTTAATATCGGCACAGCCCTAATAATAAGGCAAACTAATTTTAATAAAAGACCGGGGATGCAGCCATCGAAAAAGACCGGGTCATCAATCAGTTCGATTGTGGTCTTAGACTGATAAGACCGGGCCATTGACCTTCACACTTATTTTAGTAGTTGTTTACAAATTTTTTTATTTAAATAATAATTTGATTTTTTAGATATCGTCTTTATTTGTTGATCAGCTTGACCAGTATTCATATCCCCAAAATTTGATGGTTTCATCTCAAATTACCGATTTCTTATTGTCAAATCATTCCGCGTGGTCTTTTGCCACTCCCATTATATCTGTTAGACCTACCGAACGCTCTAAAAGTTCGAAAACATTGTCAAATTCACCGAACCCCAGTGTTTTTATCAATAACAGTGTATACGATGTCTTTGAACATTTGTTTGTTAATGAAGATCGATATGCGAATAATCGATCAATGGCTGATGATGGTTTAGAGGACAAATGTAACAACAATAACTGCGATAACAATAAAGCTTATGTCAATGTTACCACTTTGAAAATCGGACAAGATTCTGAGGTTTAAAAAGATTTGGATTAAGTATGTTCTGAAGATGATTAGATTAAAATCTATTTTAGAAATTTTTTGGTCCAATTTTTGAGAAAAGAAATCTTTTATGATCAAATCTTCATTATAAAACGTTTCGTTTGAACAAAGTTTAAACTCTGATGATTTTATTATATTCTACATGAAACTCCTTGCTTTAAACGAACTTAAATTAAAATATATTAGAAATTTCTTTTATTGATAATTTCATATATCCAAAATATGACTTGCATTAAATTTCAAGTTAAACGGCTTTTTTCCAAAACGAAACGCTCACCAGCTATATGATATATACGGTTACACTGGCTTGTCTGAAGATAAAATTGTTACGGATTTTGGATCTCACTGTGACTTAAACGATAGTGATTGGCTCTATTTTCACTTTGACTCTTCTAATTACGACAATTATGAGGAAAGGAAGAACAATGCCTCGAAAAATCAAACCAGATTAAAATACCAACCTATGGTTAAGTCGATATATTTTGCTGAACATGATCATCGGTAAAATTTTATGTCAGGCATATTAATAAATATAAAGGCATCTATAATCTTGTTACCTTAACGTTATGCCGTACTATAAATTACATGATTTTTTCCTGCCGTTTAAAATTTAACCTCTCATATTGATTATTCCAGTGCTAAAACTAAAATCGTAAAAGAATTTTGGGGAAAAAATAACATTCGTTACTATGCTATCTTTGGAAAGTTACGCATAAAATTACAAGATTACTTTTTTTGTATAAATTACTCGTTACTTTTTTAAATATTTTATAACAGAGATGCACTGATACAGTATTTACTGTATTGACCAATATCAATATTGGCCGATGAACCTTTCAATTTTAACCGTATTAGTGGACTAACTTAAAAATGATAATTAATCATAAATTAGATTTTTTTAACCTCTATTAATTTTTGAATTTATAAAATAAATTATTTACTATCTAAAACGATAAGTAAGAAAAAGTGGATTTAATTAAATTAATTTTATATAAATTTCATGAATTACAGTTTGAAGAAAATTTTTTAGTAAAAATCTGAATTTTTTGAAGAACAAAGAATTTTGATTAAATTTTACCTATAAATATTATAACCTTTTTAAAAAAATCTTTTATAATTTTCGTATGTAAAAAATCCTTCAAGATTAAATCACTCTGTCTAATTATAATATAAATTAAATTATTGATGAATTGTATCTAAGCTTTTATTTAAATAAATACAGCATATAATAATGAAATAAATTTTTTGGCCAAACCGGTTTGTTAATTAGTAGTGACAAAAATATGTACCAGTACCTTTCTCTATTAAAATATGGAGAAATATTAATTATAGCCTCGTTTTCAGAACAAAACTAATTATATATAGATATTTTTAATGAATTCATTAAAATATATTAAATAAAGATTACCCTTTCATCATTGGAAACTATGTTAAATGCTTAATATCCCTGTTTTCTTATATTAATATTTTGATAAACAATCAGTTGAAAAAACTAAATAAAAAATGGTTAGGTATTTTACTTTAATTTTATTTAGTTAATTTTAAATTTTTAGGCATTCTATCAATAATATTTTTGTATATCATTTTTTTAACATAATATTTAGAAAAATTACATCGTAATATATGTAATTATATTATTATGAAAGTAACGAACGACGTTGCTTTTTTCGAAGTAATTTAAGCTTTTTTTGGAAAGTAACAAATTCATTTAAGGACAGTAATTAAAAATACAGCATTTTATCGAATAATATAAAAAAATTGGCAATAAAATAACGCATATGACTTTTAAAAACATTTTTTAAAAAAATAAATATATTTATTCTCTATTACTCAAGGGATATGATTACCGACTTTTTGATATACAAGGGCAACGAATCACGAAATTTTGATCAGGAGCATAATTCTCACGAAATAATGCATTTTGCATTATATGATGAAGAAATTGAGCAATACGATGATTCTACTATCGAAATAGATATATATTTAAGTAGATTGTTTGAAATGGCGGATAATACAGAAAATTTACAGCAGGGTATGGATTTTATTTACAAGCCAGTCAATTTGGTTGAATCCATATAAAAATTTACTCTTTACACACTTTTACTAACTCAAATTTATTGATGTGAGACTTAGAACCAATTTTATTCATCATCTCTTGATTTTTTTTGCAGTTTAATAAATTTTGTTAAAATAAATTAACATAAATAGCATATATTAACACCCATAATTTACCTATCAACCATCCCAGTAAAAATCCACATTTTTATTTTATTTTTTAAATTTAGAATTTTAAAGTCAAATGATTATTTTTAATGATTTGTAATCTTTATGCCAATATTGAATGGGTTTAGTTGGGGTTTTCGCTCCAAACTTATATTTCCTCTCGATCAATTTTACATTCATCATTATTTTTATCGACACTTGAACAGTTGCATAATAGCAAATATAATTTAAAAATTAAATTATAAATTTGTAATTGATGTTTTTTATTTCATTTTTATGTTTAAATTTGAGCGAAATTATTATTTTTTAATATTAATAATCAATAAAATAATGGTTTTGGTTATATGGATCTATATCAGGATTTTTCATCTGATAACTTTAAATAGTATTTGAAAAATATCAAATTACCAACTTTACAACTTAGTAAATGGTGTTTTTTTAGATTGAGAGATTATTACATAAAACAATATCCTTTTCAATATAATTAAGACATTTAAGAACGTATTTATTTGAAAAAGGTCGTGTATCTAAAAAATGGAACCAGGTGATTAAAGCATTTGAATTTTACTAGTTCTCTTTTTCTTTGTGCATCTGAAATTTGATAATTTTAACGTTTATCTGAGATTCTTCTCTATTAAAGCTCATTTTAAAGATAAGCATTTTTTTCTTTCCTAAAGATGTAATATTAATAATCTATAACCAAATTTATCAGATTTTAATCCTCTTAAATTATATGTTTGTGTTTAAAATTTATTGATTCCCGCGATTCACTACCTTATTTATTAATATATTTGCTCAACAACTTAGGGTTGGCATAATTTTTTTTTAAATTTAGTATAATATTTCTTTGTAAGTAAAAAGATAATGCTTCAGGAGATCCGGTCAGGAAAATATTGAAAAAATATATAATGATAATAAGTCATTTCATGAGATTATTTGATATTTTAAATAATATGGCCAAACTGTTTAAAAATTTATACGATATCAGTGAGTCGGAAAGAAAATCATTCATATAAAACGAATCTATTATGAATAACCTCAAATAAAACTTAAACCAAATTTTATTTTTTTGACTAATAAAATAATGATGGTTTTATTATTTTTTTAGCTACTGTTATTTCCCAATAGGCCCTGATGCATTATAGCCAAATTAAAATATTCGTTATTCACTCTTAATTTAAAATAATCTTGATTATTAGTTTTGGCAATTGTTTAGTAAGTCCCAAAAATTAACATTTTTAAAACTCCTCCCTTCTTCTGATAGCGGCTATTTTTTTATAACCATCCTGAAAATCATGCTTTCAACCAGTAAAATTCCAAGATACATTTGACCCGTTTAATAATATTATTTTTTCAAATGAAATAATAAAAATTCATTCACAGAAAAACAATCAACAGCTTCAATAGAGTATTTTCATCATATGGAGGAGTGTATTTCAAATATAGGAATCGTTTAGGAAAACCAGTTTTCATTTAAACAATTAAATTCTATTACCTATGTCGAGTACATGAAAAGTTTCAATGCACTGTCAAAGTTAGGCATATAATAAATCGATCTTAAAATTTTAACATCTAGATTTTGGAAGATCTTTTAAAAAACAAATAAAATAATATTTTATATTCTTATATAAAATAAATTTTTAAAAAAATTAATTTTTCCATTATTGCTAAATTTTATAGGGCTTTATTTTTCTAGACTGCAAACCCTGACCCGAATAGGGTTCAGAGATATTTCACTGAACCAGAACCTTTTTTAGAAGGAGAGTTCACAGCCCTGAACAATTTTTTTTAGAATAATAAAAAAATAAATTAAAGTATAATAGATATTTTTATTTTCTGTTCTTTAAAAATATTTTCATTTTTACCTAATTTAATTCTTGTTTATTGGGACTATACCTAAAACTTCGTTGAAAAACTTATGGTTTTCATATTACAAAATAAGAACTAAAAATTTACAAAAATTAAAATAATTTCTCTAGAAAAATAACATAATATACACAAAATGATTAGGAAAAAAATTATATTAATTGAATAATAAAGCAAACATACTAATAAAAGGCCGGACTGTGGTCCACAAAAAAGATCGGTCCGTTCCCGATCTTCACTAATTGAGATGCTGAATAGAATTCTGTTTTTTATATATAAATTAGACCAAAAACTTTATTCCATTTCAGTTACTAATTTTGGGCAATATTTGACAGAAATAAATCGTAGTGTGACAAAATATATTGAGTATGTTTAATTAATAAACCCACTACATTCGGTAAAATCTAAAAGATGCTTAGGGCTGCTGAGCAGCGCGAAGTAGCCAATAAATTTCTTTTCCTTTTTACCGAACTATGCGGTTGATGCCAAAGCCTCATTCTATGTTCACGAACCGCGTTAGTGGTTAACCCTAAGCTTACCACTAACGATTGCACATGGTACCATAAAAAATGAATTTCTTCAATCAACAAATTTTTAATTTAATTTTCTTATAATATAGAACCAAAATTGTACATGGTATAGCCATAAAATCACTATCACTGAGGCAAAATCACATTGAGAAAATACAATTTTTTTATTCCCTTAATTTGAGGTGGTCATTATGACGGATAACCATAGTACCGTCCTCGAACTATGTGATTCAATTTCACACCCACATTTTCTATTATATTACCTTTTTCCCATATTTTATTTTTATTATTGTAAACGAGCCCATATATCCCACACTAGATGGTTTACCAGGATTATATCACTCTTTTTCTTTAATTTAAACAAATCTAACGAAACTTTTGTTCTTCGACCAAGAAACAATTCCGAAGGAGTGACACCTTCTTTGTTGCGAGAATTAAGATAATATAACTGAGACATGTAAGTTTCATCCTTAAGTTTTCCAGCTTTTTTAACAATTGTTACCATCTTCTCAGCTTGTCCATTCGAGCTGGTATGATACGGTGGTGCAAGAATGTGTTGGGTCTGTGACTCCGCACAAAACTGTCTGAAATCATCACTTATTGGACCTCCATCAAAGACATTTGTATCAGATAAATTGAATCTGTTTTATAATTCCCGTAATTTCTTAACAATTTTTGTGGTATATCCACACTTACCTGTTCATATTCGATCCATTTTGAATAAAAATCAACCACTTAGAAGTATGATTTTTTTTATCTATATCCAAGAAATCTATGTGGATACTTTCCCACGGTGATTTGGGTCACATATGGCTCACCTCTTTACGGGGCATAGCGGCACACGAATTACGGGGAACACATTTACTTGTATTTTTTCAATATCATTACCATACATATTCACGAGCCCAATTCATTTTATCCCGACCCTGATGTCCGGCATTTAATAAATCGACAATTTTACTACGTAATTTAAAAGGAATTACGGCTCTATTTCCCCTCATTAGAAAATCATCCACCACGGACAATTTTTTTTATAAATTTTGCAATTCCACGTTTTTTCTCGTTAAGAATAATTTTATCTGACTAAATTCTTTAACTTTTAAAGTATTGAATTTAAGATCTTCCCAATTTGTAAGACCACCTTTTAGCATATGTGAAAAAGAATAAACCGATGTTTTCTCTTTATCCATTACTTTATTTTTACAGCGCCGGGCCGTATTTTAAATTTTTAAAATATACCCGGGCCGGGCATGATTTAAATTCCCGGGTCGTAAAATTTTTTTATCCAACATGAATTATTATATTCGTCAATTAGACATGGTTATAATGATTATATATAGTTATGATTAATATAATGTGGGTGAAAGTTAACACTAGCTAACACTCATAATATCTATTACATAATAAAATTTTAGTTTTCCTGCCATGGAATAAATACGCAAATGATAATAGATAATAAATACATTATTTTATAATATATGTTATATTTTTTATTAATTAAAATATTACTTTTATTTTTTTTATAAATACAATTAATATAGTATATTCTCAAAATATTATTTACCAAATTTTTTATAGTATCAATTTGTAATATACTAAATATTTGTTTAGAATAAAAAAAATAAATGCTTGCTTATTATATAAAACTCGCCGAAAAATATGATAAAATACCGAATAGGTGAATTTTTTGTATATACCAGGTCGAATATAATTTTAAAAAATCCCGAGCCTAGTCTAAAAAAATTTTTTTTTAAATATGCGGGCCGGGCCTAAAATTTTTAAAACCGGGCCGGGCGGGCCCTCTGATTTTTATTAAAGTCGATATCTTCTTCACTCGATCACCTGGATAAAATATCGGGCTAACAATTTTCTCTGCCTTGACGATATCTAATTTCCACATTGAAACTTCCTGTTAATAACAACCAACGTAACGTTGTAATCTTGGAGATAAAATTAATTCTCGATTATCATTTTTGAATAAATGAATTAATAGTTTATGATCGGTATAAATTACAAATTTTCACGATTAATTGATATTTAGTTAAACCAAAAATGACGGTTTGTTTAATAACAGAATATCGCGTTTCCACTTCTCGGAAAACTCTTGAAAAAATAATTGGTCTTTCCAAACCATCAATTAAATTTAATAATGCACCTCCAACATCTTTGTTAGATCCATCAACAACTAATATTATTTCTAAATCATTATTAAAACACCAAAATCGGTTCTTCCCCAATTTTCTGTTTACATTTCAAATGTTATTTGTTATTCATTGTCTCATTCAAAATAAACTCTTCTCTGTAATTATTTATATAAAGGTACAATCCCTGCAAAATCATCCACAAATCTATGATAATAATTTATCATACCCAAAAACCATTTAATCTCCGCTTTATTTGTTGGCGGCTTCATATTCGATATATTTTTTACATTTTTGTCCAGAGGTTTCATCTCCAACCCATTAATTTGATGTCCCAAATAGATAACTTCTCTTACCCCAAGAACACTTTTTTCTTTACTGGTCCTGAGACCTTTATCATTTCTTTTGAAAACTACTTCCAAACGTTGATTATATTGTTCCGGTGTTAAACCAGTAATTAACACATTATAAATAAAAAACTCCCTCTAAGCCCTAGAAAACCGATGCCATAGTATGCTGAAAAATCGGCGCTTACACACTTAATCCAAAGGGTAACCTACAAAAGCAAATAATCCTTTAGGAGTAGTTAATCGTAAACAATTTATGAATCTTCTCCTTAGGTAACTGTAAAATGCAGAAGAAAAATCCACTTTTGAAAAATATGTACCCTTTAAATTGGCCAAGATTTCCTCAATTCTAGGTTATGGATATTTTACTACAATCCCTGGATTTAAAGTAACTCGGAAATCAGCACACAGTCTCAACTTTCCATTAGATTTTTTCACTGGAATCATTGGTGTGGCCCA